GCAGCATGTTACTGCCTCTGCATGCACAATTTTTTCGAGATTTACATGTATTTTTCCACTTTGAAAAACACAGCTCAACCTTCACTTCTGTTGGAGTTGATTTAGCATGACTTGCATGCTCCTTCCAGGTGGAAGAGAATAGCACCCACCTGAGACCGTGGGGGGCCAATGCCAGACTTCTTTAATCTTCAGCTGGATGGAAACATGGCAGGAGAGGGGAAGAAAGAGAAGATAAAGCTGAAGAACTGGAAAACAGTATCCTACCACTTACCCCATTGCCCAGACAAGAAAATCACTGTGATTCTTTAATCTGTCATGCATTTTTCCTCCTCCCTCTGCTGCTACATGTAGGAAACAGCAGCCTGGCAGAGGAGGGCATCGCTGCCGGCCTGCCTCTGGCACCAAGCGGAGCCCCACTGTGTGGTGGGTGTCAGTGGTTCTGGCAGATGACTGATGTGCTGTGCACGGCTGGGCCTTCTCCACTGGCTGCGTGGACTTTCTGGGTGTGTCAGGCAAGTCCCTGTAGCAGAGAGGTGAATCCTATCAGCTCTTTGGGTTTGCTATGATAGGCTACGTCTGTAGGTCTGGGTCTTACGTGTTCCAGAACTAAACTTACCAGTCTAAAGCCAGATACACCATTAGTGTGTAAAATAATATTTCTCCCCTGGACTCTAAACAACAGCTTTTAGGACACTTGCTTTTGTGCAGCCTTTTATTGTGTTTATTTATCTTTAGGTACATGTTGAATCTAGATCTTTTCAATTCTGGTTTATTTTACCTCACACTAGGCTAGCATTTATTTTTGCCTGTTGTTCTGTAGCTAATATGGAAATACAGAATCAAACTAAACATGTTGTTTTGTCTGATATAATTCCATAGAAGTACTCCAGTCTTTGTCAGGACATCACAACGACCTTCAATGTTCAACACACAATCAGAAAAACACACAGGGTTCTTCTCAATCTAACTGGTGATATAACTCTTGCTATTACAAATGCTGTTATTAATTTTACTATGCTATTGAATATCAAGAATTAATTCACAGAGTGGTTTTATTCACTTGTTCTTGGCTAAGATACATTTATTTCCTATCATCAACTAATTTATATTGTATCAAGGTTCAGAAGGGTTTTCCGTCCTCTGAAAAAATAGAGTACTCAGCACTAATGAAAGGGCAATGAATAATACTCTACGTCATGGCTTTCAAACTTTAAAATTCCACTGGGGTCACTGGGTAGAATTAGAGACCCTTTAATCATTAGTACAGTTTTATGAATGGTGTACTTTACTCTGATATTGTACTAGACGTCACTATTTAACACACTTCTGGCTTTATGGAATGAAAAACAAAAGGCTTTGTGTGCCTCAAAGTCCCTGTAGTTTTGAGGATGATTTTAATTCTACTGAGTCAAATCCTGAGGTCCCTGTTTAGTTGTTGTGCCATGCTAAATTCTTCTGAAATCAACTGGAATTTTTATGAGCAAAAATGCACTAAGAATCTCAAGATTTGGCCCTTTAAGAACAGCTAAAACTTTCTCACTTCTGGGTGGAGAAAGAAGTAGATGCAGTTGTGACTCCTACCCAGTGTAATGTAATCAGCTTGTATTTGTGTTACTCCAGTGCCTGAGCATTGCAATCCTGAATCCCATTGTATGCAGAATCAGTTACTGACATTTGGGATTCTTTTGTTGGAAAGAATCTTTTGTTTCACCAAGGTGAAAACCTGGGTCTGGCAGGGTACGTCACAGACTGTAATTAAAAAGGGCTTGTTTGAAACTCTATCAAATGTTGCAGATGTGAAAGCTATGCTGTACAACAGTGACTGTTACAAATGCAAGTCTCTTCATCTCCATAACTGTGACCTCTGTAACCTGCTGTGAAAGCAAGGGCTTCTTCCCCCAGTTGCTCGTTCAAGACCTG